CATGTAAAGGGAATGTAATTTGAGTTTAACACCAATCCAGTGTAGCCACCTGTATAGGGAATGTAATTGGAGTTAAACACCGATCCAGTGTAGCTACCTGTATAGGGAATTAATTGGAGTTTAACACTGATCCAGTGTAGCTACCTGTATAGGGAATTAATTGAAGTTTAATACTGATTCAGTGTAGCTACCTGTATATGGAATTAATTGGAGTTAAACACCGATCCAGTGTAGTCACCTGTATAGGGAATGTAATTGGAGTTAAACACTGATCCAGTGTAGCTACCTGTATATGGAATGTAATTGGAGTTAAACACTGATCCAGTGTAGCCATCTGTATAGGGAATGTAATTGGAGTTTAACACTGATCCAGTGTAGCTACCTGTATATGGAATTAATTGGAGTTTAACACCGATCCAGTGTAGCCACCTGTATAGGGAATGTAATTGGAGTTAAACACTGATCCAGTGTAGCCATCTGTATAGGGAATGTAATTGGAGTTTAACACTGATCCAGTGTAGCTACCTGTATATGGAATGTAATTGGAGTTAAACACTGATCCAGTGTAGCCATCTGTATAGGGAATGTAATTGGAGTTTAACACTGATCCGGTGTAGCCACCTGCATAGGGAATGTAATTGGAGTTTAACACTGATCCAGGATAGCCACCTGTATATTGAATGTAATTGGAGTTTAATACTGATCCAGGGTTGCTTCATGTATAGGGAATGTAGTTGGAGTTAAACACTGAACCAGTGTAGCTACATGTAAAGGGAATATACTATGAGGTCCAGTTTTGACCCAGTTTACTATGTGTTTATCTACGTAGTGTTAGTCGTGAGTTTATCTGTACTCAATCTAGTGTTAGTCGTGAGTTCATTAGCAGACACGTACCACATAGTTTAATTAGATAACAACTGTATCGTTAAAACAAACCAATCGCATTATCAGTACTAACGTTTACTCAATCGATAATATCTTTCACATGTACAAGGTATCAGTCATTTAGTACAGCTACAAGTTAGTATCTAGGACGTTATGAATTTAACGAAGTGCCTATATAGGAGATTTGGGTTGAAATTTCTCAGTGTAGCATTAAGTTATATGGGATTGTTCTATCAATTTTATATTTAAGGAATTTGAAAGTATTTAATCGTTTGTATGCCTTCCTAGATATAATTTCAGATATGTTTGTTCAATATGCCATCATCAGTTAGGTGTTTATGTGAGTCGAAAATAGCATAATCTTTGTTAGCAAACTGAAGTGACTGTATATACCATTTCTTTTTCTCAAAATGATAACGTAATGTACGTGTTTTATAGAGTTAAATCATACACTGCGTGCAGTGGTATTGTCTAGGTCTTCATTAAACTGTACAGCAGCAATGATCCTATTATTTGTATCGATCAAGGTTAATTGCGATGTTTCATCAGCCAGCGATTGTATTATATGATCATTATTTAAATCGTTTGTTTTACCATTTATAGTTATCAAAAATAGAAAGATCTTCACTGATATTCTACCACAGCATTGGCTGTGCTAAATGTAGAAAATGGCACCTCTCATGGTTTCCGAGTTTCAGTTCTGGTTAAACATGGATTCTTAAGGATGCTCTTTATGTCACGAAGTATTTTTTAAGTTAATGTTCTATAGTCGAATTTCTGTTAGGACAAACTTTAGTATGTAAATGTCTTTAAATACAATATTGGTAGCATACAACCATTGCATTTTATGGTATACTTATGTTTTGACCAGGATATTTAAGGTATATATGCAACATAACAAAGCCGGACGCTTGACCAGACTGTTGTTTGTTTTGTGACATAAGAGGGCCGATATTTTTGTGTTATTTTATAGAACACCATAAACCAGATAAAATATTTTCAAAAAAGAAAACAATGGTTCCCTATCTATGAAAAGATTATGAACATAGAAAGAGTGATCAATATGTAATGGAAAAACTTGTTTCATAAATATTTTAAAATTGAATTTATATTATTTGTATAAAAAAAATGTATCGTATCAACTAGGTTTGTTTTACAAATGAATCTTAATTGAAGTCTTTCGTACCCATGCTGAATCTTTTTACATTATTCATATATTGTGAAATAAAATATTTTCGTGGGGCCCACATTTCGTGGTTTGAAGCCAAAAAACCATTTCGTGGTTACATGAATTCGTGGATTGCGAGTACCTACTCAATCGGATGCTGACTTTTTGTCGAACTTGTAATTGCTTCTTTGACCTTTGAATTCGTCAATGAAGATTACCCAAGAAATCAATGGAATCAAGAACCCAACGCAAAAATATTAGTGATTTCACAGTACCGGTTTTCTATATGTGAATAAAGTGTAACAAAGAAAAATATATACAATAGTGTGACCATACAAGGATAAAACTTACCACAGCTTTAACGAAAAAGGACAAAATATACCACAATGTCAACGCACGAGGAAAAACATTACCAAAAACATAAAGACGTAAAGCCAAACTCTACAAATGCATCAACAACAAAATTATTAAAACAGTGTCAATAATCACGGACAATATATGTCACAACGTAAACAATGAATGTCTTGTTTGATATAGACAGAGCAATCTAATCACGGTAATAAAGTGGTTTAGAGTTTAGCTTAGCTTTGACGAGCGCTACTCTTCAAACATCTAATGCTGAGGATGAAACGTAAAAATGATCTCTCCGTTCGTCCGATTCGTCTGCCTGTCTCTTTAAATTTCTATTCCGGATGCTTACTTCATAACAAATAATTGCACTAATCTCAATTTTCATGGGTTACTCAGGGTAACAGGAAGATTTGTGTGGATTTGTGATTCGTCAAAGGTCAAGGAAGCTGTAAAATCAAACTATTCCAAACCCTTGCTTCAGAACAAAGGAATGTACAAAGGTAAATGTCACTGCTATTTAAAATGGGATTTCATAAACTGAATAAACTTTCCTGGTGCTAATTTTAAAGTAAATAATTGCACACAGGTCTAGCTTAGCGTGTGAGTTGCCCAAAGCAAGATAACGAACCCATTTGATTTTGATCGAGATCACTGTAACTAAATATAGAATTGTTTCTTCTCCGCATTTTATCCTAGAATGAGTTATCGCCTCATGTTCAAACGTAGTTTGTGAGTTGTTCTAGGAAGAGGTAAGAATCCAGTTACTTATTCGAAACACAATTTTCTTGTCCATATCTTTAACCGCAATTTAAGGACGAGGAAAGACACCACTGATTCTGGGCATAGTCATTTAAAGGACATGGTCGATTTTGTTTAAAACAAAACTTTGTCTCATCCGAACACCATAAATGATTTCACATAGGTCTTTTTCGGCTTGTTCTAGAAGTGATGTATAACCCTATTCATTTTGCGTGTGGTATGTCAAATGTCAAAGTCAATGTAGGTAAAAAATAAAAGTCAAGAAATTAACTTTGAGGTACGAATGAAATTAAATATCTGATTGCGCAACCCTTGCTAATAAAAAAAAAAATCTTAGACAGATCCACAACACATATCGCTCAGAACGTTTTCCAGGGGGTATGCTGCTCCTTGCGGCTCTCTCGTTTACAATAATGAAGTAACGACTCTCATTTTCTATATTTGGGTTATCGTAGTAATCAATTAATAACGATAACAATAGTCTGGTGATGTCTGTATCACAGTATTGTTCGGCAGCTGACAACAACACACCATCCACTTGTATCCAGGAAAGTGTATTCTCTTCTCTTGATTGTATAGAGATATCTTATGGAGACCGCAGATTTCCTAAAGTAATTACAAAAAGCTAATAACAATAATTAACAAATTTAACAACAAATGCTGCTCAGGATGTTTTACGGGAAAAGGATGCACCTGGCGGTTCTCTCCTTTCGTGATTGTTGTAGATTTTGAAGAACTCGAAAGATCTTTTTTATCAGTCTCGAGCATTCTCTCCTAAAAACAGAAATACTGCACTGAAAGAATGCCCTCGTTCCAAAAACAAGTGTACGGCGATATGTAAATTGAGTTGTAAACTATTTGGGGACATATTTGATCAAATCACGAAAGGGCCGGGGTAAATATACTTACAGTGGGATGGAATCATGAGACTGACCGAGTTCCTTGTCTACAATATTTTTACGTTGCGTAGCCAGTTTTTCCAGACTAAGCTTTTTCTATGGGAATTACTTACGCCCTTTCTCCTTGCTGAATATTATTTTCAGAGGACGACTTTGTTGATATGCTTGTGATACAAACCTTGCAAATTTCTTCAATTTCACTTTGATCTTGTCTAACAACATGAAGACAAGGACGGCTTACTACTTAACTGTACTATAAGCGTGACGATTTTGATTTTTAGATCAATAACTTTCGTTTTCTGGAGAGTAACATCCCTACTTTACAAACGTACGGTGTTTTCATGTAGCAGTTTATTCATTATTCAAGGACAAAGTTACAACGTAAGGTCTAAAGAGATGCAGTTTCATTAAGGCTATGCACAAGTTGACACATAGGCGTCTTTATCAGACAATCAAAACGTCAAGTTAGCTAATCAGAGCTTTATCAGCCGTAGTTATGCAAAATTACAACGTAACAATCAGTCACCTAATCCCAATGTAACAATCAGTCACCAAATTCACAATCACAACGTCACAATCAGTAAGCTAATCACAATTACAGTGTCACAAATGCTTAGCTAATCACAACGTACTGATCAGCTAATTAATCACAACGTCACAGGCATAACAATCAGTACAAACAATATTAATCAGTTGTTAGTGTCAATATCTTTATTCTATTTCATACACTGTAAGCTTGTTAACTGAAGTAGGTCAATTTATCTTTCAGGCCAATGTTGGTACGATATCTCGAAGTCAGTCATATTCGTTGCAGACTTTGGAGAGTAAGGAACCTTTATCAGCAGTGACCTAAGAGGCAATATGTCCCTCTACTAAAGATCAAACTGTGACTGAAATAAAAAGCGGGAAAAAACTGATTTCTTATTCTCTTGTTTGCAATGTTATCACTTACTTACAGTTTTGTTCTTGCCCACCTTGTCATTGTACAGTACGTGTATGCGTATATTCACAAGGCCTACTACCCTAATGTCAGTTTTAGTACTAACGAGTCGGGATGTCAGCTTAACACAACGTCACGGCTGTATCATGACCAGCAGAATGTACAAAAGATGACCTCCCAGTTCAACATTTACGCAGAGTTGGCAAAAGGGATATTTGGTATTTTCTTTTACGGTTCACTAAGTGATAAATATGGTAGAAAAATCTTTCTCTTTGTACCTGTCATAGGAAACATGCTTAACTGTGTTTTGACTTCAGTAGGTATATACCTGAACTGGAACATTTACATATTTATTATTTTCTTCTTCATTGACGGATGTGGAGGAAGTTGGGGTTTAGCAATATCTATTGTTATGTCAATAGTGGCTGACGTGACCGTACCCGGAAAGACCCGGATGTTTGTAATAGCCATGACCGAGTTATCGTTGGGATTAGGCATAGTTATTGGAAGTTTTACTTCCGGTTTCATCATTGAAGCAGAAGGTTTCATGTCCGCTTTGCTGATCAGTTCCTGTTGTTTTGGTCCTTCCATTCCTGTTATTGGTTTTCGTACCCGAAACGTTAAACAAGACAAAAGATCAACAAAGAAAATCCGCAACTCAACTTGCTGTTGATATTTTTGTGTTTTATTTCAGAGATGCCGCCCTTAATGGAAAACGGAAGATATTTCTGGTGTGCATGCTTATGTATTTCTTTACCATGCTGGCGGTGTTCGGTGGCAACGGAATAGAAACTTTGTATGTATTAAATTCACCTTTTTGCATGAGCTCAGTACAAGTGGGTGGTTTCATTACTCTGCGCAGTGGGATACCTTTAGTTATCGGGATGCTGCTCTTCCGTCCACTACGGCTGTGTTTGGATGAGTCTCTCATAGTTGTCATCGCAAACCTGTCCCATTTTACTGGATTTGTTCTGGAGGCATTTGCTTATAATACCATTATGTTATACTTTGGTAAGTATGTGACAATTATACTCGGTAGCATACCCTTTGTTTCATAGAATATCTTTCAAAGATAACTGACATATTCCGCCAATACTATAATATAATGTCCGTGCCGAAGGTTTGTTTATTTAAGCGCTAGATTTTGTCTGACTTGAATAATTAAGATATTACAACAGAGAGTCGTGACAAAAGTGGTATACATTCTAAACCTGTTGCTAAATTGTATCTAGCCTCGACGTATCTGAAGATACTTTATTATAAAGAACATTTGATTGAGTGGTGCATAATTTTTTCTTAATCTTTGTGTCACTCCCAACATCTGCAGTAACCTGTGTCAACTTTCTAAACAGTTTTAATATAACTGTGTTGATGTTCATTATACCCAACAAACAAAGCATCATATTTGAGAGCGTATTGAATAAAAGACCGGTTGGTTGTTCACGATAAAACCTCGAAAAGTTTTCATTGTTTTTTTTTCAAAAATTATATCTTTGTTGTTCTATGATGAGTCATAATTGCACGAAATGGTCTTCTGGTACAATATTATATTTAGCTTGCCAATATTTAAAAAAAAAAAAAAAAATGCCTAAAAGGGCGTTTCATTCCTTCATAACTTAAGGGATTATTTATAATTTTCCGGGGTATCTGATATATCATTCACAGTTTAAATTTACGAATTACTGTTTATTTCGTAGTTGTCTAGATCATAACTAGTTTGCAGGGAATACGTTTCGCGATATTGCCAGGTTTAGATATTGCACTCAATGGGGCACTTTCGTATTCGGGTGATGGGATTTATTTATCTATTTATTTCAAAATGACGTTTATAGCATACTGCATTGTTGTCTATCTCTATTATTAGATATTAGATAGTAAAATGGTAAACAGGTATTTGTTTTTTATCTCTATAGATTCAAGATATTAATATTCGCTGGGTAATTCAGTTCGCGCTATCTTTGGTGACCGCAAATATAGCGAAATTAAATCCCCTCTAAAATTACGAACTATAGAGTAATCGAAGCTTTATTTATTCTTCAGTTCTCATTTTATTTTAGTTCCTGTTGTGAGCTTTGCTAAGACCATGATATTTCCTATGATTCGTGGAACTATGTCGAGTCTAACGCCAAAGGAAAAACAAGGTCTGTACTCACATGTAAAATATGAGTCTGTACTCGTATGCTAAACAAGGTCCATACTCGTATATAAAACAAGGCCCGTACTCGTATATAAAACAAGATCGGAACGTGTATGTAAACATTGTTTGCATTCGTAAATAAACGAAATCGGTACTCCTGTAAATCAAGGTAGGTACTTGAATTAAATGCAAGGTCATTACTAGGTTTTAAATCAAAGTTGGTAAATATATCTATATAAACGTCGATACTTGTATATAAAATAAGGTTGGTGCTCGTTGGTTATTAAAAGATAAAAAAAATCGAAACTATGACTATTACGGAAAGGTCGGTAAAAGATGTGTTGATCACTCAGTACAAGTATTCTGGTTTAGGTCGGTACTCGATTACAGTCACACGTTTGAAGGTTAATTCTTGCATATTATTAAATAGTCGATATTTGTAAAATGTGAAAAGTAAGATATGTGTATATGTAATTCTGTAAAGGTAGATACGTGTATAGGTAAGTCTGTAAAGGTAGAAACGTGTATATGTAATTATGTAAAGGTAGAAACGTGTATATGTAATTATGTAAAGCTAGATACGTGTATATGTAATTATGTAAAGGTAAATACGTGTATATGTAATTCTGTAAAGGTTGATACGTGTAAATGTAATTATGTAAAGGTAGATACGTGTATATGTAATTAAGTAAACGTAGATACGTGTATATGTAATTATCTAACGGTAGATACGTGTAAATGAAATTATGTAAAGGTAGAAACGTGTATATGCAATTATATAAAGGTCGATACGTGAATATGTAATTCTCTAAAGGTAGATACGTATATATGTAATTCTGTAAAGGTAGATACGTGTATAGGTAAGTCTGTAAAGGTAGAAACGTGTATATCCATCACACATATACTAATAGAGTATTTATGTAATTCTCTAAAGGTAGATACGTGTATATGTAATTCTATAAAGCTAGATACGTGTATATGGTATTATGTAAAGCTAGATACGTGTATAGGTAAGTCTGTAAAGGTAGAACCGTGTATATGTAATTATGTAAAGGTAGAAACGTGTATTTGTAATTATGTAAAGGTTGATACGTGTAAATGTAATTATGTAAAGGTAGAAACGTGTATATGTAATTATGTAAAGCTAGATACGTGTATATGTAATTATGTAAAGGTAAATACGTGTATATGTAATTCTGTAAAGGTTGATACGTGTAAATGTAATTATGTAAAGGTAGATACGTGTATATGTAATTCTGTAAAGGTAGATACGTGTAAATGTAATTCTGTAGAGAGATACTATAATAGGTAAATGAAAGCTCAGGTGAACGTTTCATATACTAGTAAGTGTTAGAGAAACCTATTTTTATAAGAATTGTGTGTGTTTCCATTGCTTTATCTATTCCATCAAGAATTGCTTCTTTGTTTTCATTTCAGGAACTATGTTTGCCGGAATAGCCATCGCGGAGACGTTTTGTACCCAGTTTGGCAGTGTGGCTTCCAATGCGATATATGGCCACACCGTGGAAACATTCCGGGGTGCAGCCTTTCTCGTCCTTGCCGGATACGCATCTGTCGCAAGAGTATTATCTCTGTAAGTATTTATTGAACAAAATTATAGGACCTCTTTAGAGAACATAAAGACTTAGTGAATGGCTTATTTTATCACGTGAAGTGGTTTAAGATCTGGATGTTTAAAAATAAACTTAATCATCACGAGAAAAAACATCAGACGTATGTGTATGTCTGTAGGCACAAGCAGTGATTGTGAGTAACATGGCTGACATTTCAGTGATTTAAAACGATATAACGTCAAAATATTGAATCTAGCGACAATGCAGTTGTCAAATTCTGAAATTAATAATAATCAACAGAGGTCAGTTTTCGTTATTTGATAATTTTTTTCTGTACTTTCAGTGTGCTATATCGGTATATCGGATCATCAGACGACTGCAGACACAAAGGTGATGGGAAACACGTACTAAGTTTTGTATGAATTAACAAAAAAGTACCAGTAAACAAAAGTATGTACCGAGTATTGTATGATATACAGTGAAGTTAAACACGTACCGGGTTTTGTACGAATAAACATGAAATATACCAGTGAAGTGGAACACGTACCGAGTATTGTATGTGCTATATAAACACGGTCTATCCAATATTTATACATTAGGTTGTTAACATTGGCAATATGTTGCCGCTGACTTTGAAACAGATAATGATATCCATCTGCTAATCTTGTGCATATATTACATACTCTTACTTGAATGTATGATTCTATTTGCCACATTCATCAGGAAATATTGGACTGCATGTCCTTAACTGGCTATAGTTAACAGAGAATTTCCAAAACGGTGTTCTTATACTTTATTTTGTAGTACAAGTCCATGTTTATATATTCTGCAATCTATTCCCTTGGGAGAAATAAATACACCTTATCGACAAATATCTACAAATTTTGTTTTTATTTTATGGAAAATTAAATATCAATCCGTGTAACACTTTGTTAATCTGACTGGAAGATGTCTTCCAATTCACATTCGTTAAGAATGCCCCAATACATCATTTCCATGGTGTATTAGTTTGATAAGTTATTTTTATTGCGTATTTTCTGATAATCCAGTCCAGCAAAAAAAAAATGTACTTTTTTTATTAATTCTTAGCCGGTATTTATACAATGTAGTTAGGTATCGATGATTTAATTTTCAAAATATATTTACAAAATTTGACATGAAATCTCTCTTCTAACATATATCTAACCTACAATCAATTGACGTGCTTTATGACGCTTAACTAAATAAAATCAGGCCAAACACTCTATTGACAAGTTGTTTTCTCTTTATCTCTATATTGCACTATTCATCGCTTTAAGGTCTCTATCGTAAAATTATTTGATATTCGTTTGTGCAAATTAATCTCAAGAAAACGATATCTTAAAATATTCATCAAACATGTATACTTACTTTTAAAATTCTGAGTCTGCAATCTGATTAAAATCATCTGTTGAAGGCTCCCACTACGAAGTTAACGCAGCCTAAAAGATTATTTTAATCAGATTGCCGAGTCTGTAGTGCAGTGCCATCTCGTAAAAAAACTAACACAACTTTTAATATAAATGTACTTGTAACTCGTTTTCTAGCTTCCTGTGTATATTAGATAAGCATCGACATTCACATTCTACTAAGCAAACCTGCTTACAGAGAATAGGAAAGGCTTGGGGCATTTCTCGTGCAATGGAATCCTTCATTACGAAAACAGATGCAAGCCCCTTCTTATCTGAAGAAGCTTTCTTTTTACGTCTTTCCTGCCTTCTTAGTTTCTTATCCAGTGACTTACTAACCTGATCACCCCCATACTATCAGAATGTATAATTGCACAAACTGATTATGAACTTTTTGTGAACTACTATCTTTGTTTAAGGATGACTAAATGTTAACCTTTTCTTTAACTCGTAGTCAATCCGGCCATTAATAAACTTGTCTATATCAATACACTCTAAGTAAAGGTAGGGTAAATCTTGGTAGGTTAGTATTGCTGCTTTGTGCGAAGAAAAACACAACTTCTGAAGCTGACTCGCCTTTACCATTTAATGTCCCTGAATGGAACACCTATGTGCTGCATTCCATTCCTTTGGGTTGAATCCCCTGAATGAGGCATTTTCTATTGAAGTTGTAATCTGATAACTAGACACCTTACCCTTCCCATGGATTACTCAACAGTGTTTGTCTGTGCGCCTTGAACGCATGACACGTTTCCAAGCTTTCCTGACAGCTAACTGTTCAAAATGAATAAAATGATCCTGCAAGTCACTGCTGGTGCCATTAAGTGCATCTGGGTGTTTTTCTTTTCTCTGTCCTGAAAAATTATTATTTGATTCTAGCCATGATAGACTGTCTCTTCTCTTAGGGGTGTTAATAAACTGTTAACATAGTTCTCTCAAAATGTTTTAAAACACTACGTAAAATGCTTACAGGCATGTAGTTTTGTTTATCCATAGTACAATTTCTTTGAAAATGGAGACACCCTGTGCTTCCCTAACCCGATAAATCTGACCCCCTACAATCCCCAAGATTCTCCTAATGCGTGAGTCTATAGTCAGATACAGGTCAGGCAGATGTGAAGGAGTATCCGAGTCTTAAACCAATCAATACTATGTTTAAAGTTAACCCATAGACGTGTTAATGGTACACCATTAAGTTAACCGTAGTAAACATTGTAAACAAAACCGACCGGGACATACCAAAATCTTTAAAAATGGTGGTTGTTCTTACCTCTTTAACGTTCAGCATTTAGGGAAATTCTCTTATTGTATTATATAGTGGAAACAATACTACAATGAGTTAAGGGGTTGTAGGGACTGCATGCACAATGTAGGATGGTTAGTGCGCCATTCTATTGACCTCTATGTCGTAGGTTCGATCCCGTAGTCCTAAATATGTAAAACATCAGTATATCTAGTGTTAATGTCTGCTGTATGTCTGACCAATATATATGAAAACGCATGTAGTCCTTTATCTGGGACGTTTAGACTGATAACACCACGTGTTTACAATGTCTCGTTATTTACTATACACGAACGTATAGGTGTAAGTGTGTCATCTTGTGTGTATATCACTTGTGACTGGGTGACTTGTGTCTTATATTTATGTTATGGTGAATCTACCTCGGGTAAGTATTATATATTACGCTAGAATACACTGGCATGGCCGTGTCCGAATGTCCATGCAGCCTTTGATTACAATGTGTGTCTGTCGAACATAGTATAATACAGAACTAATATATGTTAGGCGTTATGGTATCCTTCTACTGCAGTAGTATATCATCTAGGTAATTTACAAACTTCAACTATGTCCCAAAATGTTTTATCAGTAATTTGTGTTTGTTTGGAGATTCAGGTATCACACCGGTAAGGTAGTATGTAGACGAGAGCTTCACGGTAAGGTAGTATGGAGACGAGAGCTTCACGGTAAGGTAGTATGGAGACGAGAGCTTTAGGAGATGTAGAAGAGAAATACAAATTATTGCGATTGGGGCAAAAAATTGATTTTGGTTTCTTTAGTGTCCTCTGAACAGTCGTAAGAGTCCCACATTAGTCACCTATTACAACATACAGTAGGATGCAGTTGGTCTATTAGATTAATGGTTTATCAATAAGATAACATAGAAAAAATATTATTAGTTAGTACATGTACGTATTTCTTGACGATATCGTGTAGCATGTCCTCCCTCGCATGATGCTCTGCCTAAAATCATTCAAACATATACTAGACTATATGTGTAACACGCTTTGCCTTCTTCACTTACATCATATATACAACAGTTCAAGTATCGCATGATCTGCCTTTCTCACTCCATCACACACATACAACACTTCATGTGTAGCATGATCTGCCTTTCTCACTCCATGACACCTAATAATATTTATGTGTAGCATAATCTGCCTTTCTCACTCCACCACACATATAAACACATCATGTATAGCATAATCTGCCTTTCGCACTTCACCACACATATTCAATACTTCGTGTGTAGCATGATCTGTCTTTCTCACTCCATCACACATATACAACACTTCATGTGTAGCAAGATTTGTCTTTCTCACTCCATCACACATATACAACACTTCATGTTTAGCATGATTTGTCTTTCGCACTTCATCGCACATATACAACGCTTCATGTGTAGCATGATCTGCCTTTCTCACTCCATCACACATATACAACGCTTCATGTATAGCATTATCTGTCTTTCTCACTCCAAGACACATATACAACACTTCATGGATATTTTAATCTGTCTTTCTCACTCCATCACACATATATAACACTTTATGTGAAGCATGATTTGTCTTTCTCACTCCATCACACATATACAACACTTCATATGAAGCATGCATTGTCTTTCTCATCCTTCACACATATACAACGCTTCATGTGTAGCATGATCTGTCTTTCTCACTCCATCACACATATACAACACTTTATGGATAGCATGATATGCCTTTCTCACTCCATCACACATATACAACACTTCATGTGTAGCATGATCTGCCTTTCTCACTCCATCACACATATACAAGACTGCATGTATTGCATGCTCTATCTTTTTCACGTCTTTCACATATATACTAAACATAATACGTATCATGCTCTGCCTTCCTTTCTTAAGTGCTTCCTACGAAAAAAACAACATTTTTTACGTACCCAATTTCATATATTGTTTTCTTTAACAGTTCTAAATAATGGGTTCTTAACATCAAGTAATGAAATAAGTAATGTTTTTTCTATAGTTGGGTAAAAAGTAATGTTTTTGTATGTGTAATTTTTGAAATTAATTCATAACATAATAGTTATTCCAATAAAAAGACATTCCTCTGTAAAAATAAATTAATATCAAGTCAGTGAATATTAAAGATTCTCAATAAATCTTATGTTACACACAATAAGAATATTATTAGTGTCATTATTTGGATTGCAGGATCTATGAAATGATTAATAGATTTTGTATTTTTGTCGGTAGGCTGGAGTAGTTCTGCAAGACGTAGACTTTCAAAACCGATAAACAGTATGCTGACCAACAAGGATGACTAACCTTAATTTCTCATAACAAAATGGAGAACTCCGATTTCTCTGGCAAACAGCCAAAGGAAGAATTTCCCGACCCTGTTGTAAAAGCCAACCGATTTGAGTCATGTGAAATAACTGATGAGAAATCTCCTCTTCTTTCTAAGTCTGCGACAGCAGACGTGGACATAAAACCGTGCGATACCGGACGTGATGTCAAGGTCAGGATTCCGCTGCAATTCTACTTGCTAGGACCTGTAGTTTTTATCATGCTCTTTAGCTTTGCTACCAATTCTTTGATCATTGCACAATACGTTTATGATGTTATCGAAGAAGAACAATTTCCAGGTAAACTTTTTAACAATAGTGTCGAAGAAATCGTTTGCTTTGAAAACAAAACTTCTCAGGAGTATTTAGACCAACAAGAGGTCCAAAGAATCGCATCCGCCTACAATATTTACGCTGCCTTAAGTTCTGGAATTCCAGCAATATTTTCCAACCTTTTATTTGCGTCAATGAGTGATATATATGGACGAAAACCGTTTATATTCATAACTGTCACAGGCCAATTTATCGCAACTGCAATGTTTGCAGTAGGCATATACCTTAAATGGAACATTTACGCCTTGCTTGCCTTCAAGTTTGTGGGCGGGTCCACTGGTGGCTGGATCGCCTCCCTTTCTATCGGCTTTGCTGCCGTAGCAGATATCACTCGGTCAGGAAAGTCAAGAACCTTTGCTATAGTATTGATAGAGATAGCGGTGGGCATGGGCGCCCTAGTGGGATCAGCCTTGTCCGGCTACCTTATTGACGGCGTCGGCTATAACACGGCAATGACGATCAGTGCATCTGTCACATGTATAGGAGTCGTGGTTGCGCTTTTTTTTCCGGAAACACTGCAAAAAGAATATTCACGAAAACACAGTGTTATGCAGACGATTAGAAATATATTTCTCTTTTATACCAAAGATGTTTCACCTGTCGGCAAACGTTGGAAGTTCTGGGCGTGTTTGTTGGCTTTGCTCTTCAGTTTTCTCGCTAATTTTGGAAAGACTGGCATTGAGACGCTGTATCAGCTTAACTCCCCGTTCTGCTGGACGCCCGTGAAGGTGGGCTGGTACACTACTCTTCGGACAGGACTGCCCCTCGTCATTGGTATGGGACTCATGAAACCTTTCCAGATGTGTATGGGGGAACACGTGATCGGTATTATAGGTACTCTATCCTATATAGCAGGATACGTGCTAGAGGCACTGGCGACTAACGAACTCATGATGCTAATAGGTATGTCCGTCTGTTTTTAGTAAGATATGCAATTAAACGCGAGAACTACACAAGTATTTGCAACATTCTACTTTCTCTTTCTTATGTTCCAGTTGCCTTTATCAGTTTCATGGGGGCTTTACCTGTGCCAATCATAAGAGCGATAATGTCGCACATGACATCTCCTGAACAACAAGGCAAGTATCGTCTGTTCCACCTCACCGATATAATTATCTCAGTCAAATGACTTCTGAAATTGTTATACATTTAGTTTCAAATTATTTGTATTTCTGTATTTCATTAAGAATAAAATTGGATTCGACACAGGCATTGCCTATTAAATCCCTTTCAGAAGGTATAACATACATTGCACCTCAACAATATGAGTATATTCAGTCAAAAGACATCTGACGGTTTTTTGTTTTTGTTTGCTTTTTTTCTTATCAATGTTATTGCATTAAAAATAGAATTGGGATAGTCACAGTCATTGCCTGTTAAGGTCACATAAGAGGAATAACTTGTATATCACAACAAGACAACACGTTGTGAACAACAAGGCAAGTATAATCATTCATACAAAACCTCCTCAACAACAAGGAAAGTATCATCATTCACACAACGCCACCTGAAAAACAAATTAAGCATCATTATTCATAAAACATCACCTAAACAACAAGGCAAGTATAATCATCCATGCAACACCGTCTGAACAACAAGGAAGGTAGCAAAATTCTCACAACAGATCCAGAACAACAAGTTCAGTGTTCACCCAACACCAAATAACAAGGCAATCATCATTATTTAATCAATACCGTCTGAACAACAAGGAAGGTAGCATCTTTCACAGTACATCAATTGGCCAACAAGTCAAGTATCATCATTCGCCCAACACCTAGACAAAAACAGTACGTTTTAGCAGTCACAAAGCACCTACATAATACACTAACATTTTTGTACCCTTTTTCTTGTACACAGGTTCCCTATTTGCCGGAGTTGCAGCAGTAGAGAATATTTGTGCCGTTGTAGGAATCGTGACTGGTAACGCCATCTACGCCGCCACTGTTGATTGGTTCCGAGGTTTCACGTTCCTCCTGTTTGCTGGTTATACCGGAATCGCATGTGTTCTCATTGTGTACGTATATAAAATGTATAATGGCTTACATTCAAGCCAAAAGGCATCTTTTGTTTTTTTATGAAAAGGGATATGAAAAATTTCATATCAGAACATCTACTAATCCAAAGTGTAAAGTAACTTGAATCGATGTATGAATTATGAAGAGAACCCAAAATATCTCGACAGTATATACAATTTTATTTCAATAAATCTTAGTTTACTCAATCAGCAGACCATACATTTTTCTGATGATGAAACTTAGAATCGCCATGTTACCGTTGGACATATGTGCTACTATTTTGCGGACAATATACAGATTTTCACAAAATCTCAAAACAGGATAATACTATTTAATATATGAAAGAAAAACTTGTGGGGGATATTTTGACATCTGTCTAAATTTGCACACTGTGCTAAAGTAACATTTAATTCGTCACCATGTGATCTGTTATGACTAGTGACCTAGCTATATTTTTGCTAGTAGGATATATTTACTACTGGTACAACACCATGTTCACTATTTCATAAGTGTGTGGCTTTGAAGCGCTTTCGCCAGTGAGATATTTTATCTGGTACAATAGCATTTCCACTGTGGCTTACATAATTGGTAACTTATAGTAGAACACAATTATGTTATGTCCGTAACGTGCAACATTTCTCTGTGATATTAAACTTTAAAACAAAAAAAAATTGTTTCATTAGTTACGAAATAGACGTTACGTAGAGACTAAGGTTAAACCTACCATGAAACTTTAGTCCTTCACAGTCTCGGGTTCCATTTATCATATTAATGATCACTGTACTTTCTATTTCAGATTTTTATTCATTGATTCACGAATGGAGAAGTCTAAAGCTTATACGTATACTACGCTCGAAGAATGAAGAAGGATGTTGTTTTTTCAAATCGACCAAAGTGGTTAATGTGAAACACGATTCTATTAAAACGCTTAATTGCATTTATAGCAGTTAATCCATGACACACACTATGTTTAATATCAAATAAACTTTAATTGAAAAGCAAATATTACATATGATTGCATTTTTGTTTTACTATTACCTACAATGACAAGATGTATTTTAGATTAGTGTATATTTCATATAACCTGTATACTATTTATCTTTTGATGTTTTATCTGGGTTTTTTTACTTTTCTTTATATTCGGAGAAAATCAACCATGCTCATATCGCGATTTGGGAGAACTATCCTCAAAAAAGGTAAACAGCTCAATTATGTGATTACGGCATACTGTCGATTTATATAGAAAGGGCATGTCTTGCATCTGTGCTACTATAGAAAGTTCACGTACTAATATATAACCAGCATAATTAATTATAGAAACCACGTGTGTATGGTCATTGACTTGAATCACTACGGAAACCACGTGACGATGAAATTCAAGTTATTATCAATTATCATAAATCAGAAATCTAGATAAATATTTAGAAATTTTGAAAAAAAGAGCACTTTCTCGAATGAACAACGTTAACGCATTTTCATGAAAAGTGTTGTTATTATGAATCAAAATCTGACTATCTTGATGGTTTCAAAAGACCATTATTAGAAAAATGGCAAATAATCCCTAGAAGTGAGTGTTAAGGGTATATTGTTAACATTAATTAGTCTTACATGATTAAACACTTAACATTGACTGCATCACGTAACCATTTCATTCCTTTCGGTAAATCTATGTCTGAAGTGTTCCGAGATATTTATAGAAATGCAGAAAAGGGAAATAACTCAAGACACTCTTTCATAACATTGCAAATGTGAGACACTGCGTTTGAAACCTGTGTTTCATATATATAAACCGTGCTAGAATCAACTCCGGCTGCAGAATAATCCAACCTTGGGAATGGATAGTCCACAAGGAGTGTCAGCTACACTGTGCCGTGAAACAATCACTATAGTAAGAATCCGTTGGAAAGAAGAGTTTATCTGAAAGATTGTGTGTCGCTGCAGTTAGCCAAACGTACCTTAACAACATGGCCATATCGTTCCGTCAGTGGTACTTATAAGGTCAAAATTTTGAAAACCTCCGCTTAAGTGTTCCGAAACATGTTTAGATACAACAAAATAGGACATCCTTTATAACGTAACATTACAATATTTGTCTCAAAACCTCATATGTATTTTTCCATTTTCTGCTTAATCATGCATCATTATGTAATGAATAAGGACAAGCAAGATATGTTCAAACTATATTTTTTTTCCAAACTGACGGTTAAAACCAGTAAAAATTAACAGGAACTTTTTTTCATAAGGCATTTTTAACCAGAGCACTGGCAAAAACTTAAGTATTTATTTAGATGAAATAAACACCGATTTTGAATAAATAAATGTTATGTTTCGACAATATACGTTGATGATGTAAACAAAAGTGCAGCACACGAGGGTCAATTAACAACTGTACATGAGATACCTGTAAATGATCCAATACACACAAAGACACAAGCACTAATAACAATACAACCCAAGCACGTATATATGTACATTACAACTATAAGGCAAACAATACAAACACAATACAACTAAGTAAATGTTACGGGACTAAGAGAAAAAGATTAAAAGATTATTTAAAAAGCAAAAAGGTAAAACATTGCCAGCAAGCATAGAGTTGAAGTCAAATGTATACTGAATTACACTAATTATATTGTTTTTGTACTTATAACGAAATAAAGTTTACTATTATCCGTAAAATTGGGGAAGAAAGTAATATCTTACGTAAATATATAAGTAATAAAGAAAATAAACAAAACTGAATTTATTGAGAAATATTATAAATAATTTTGTTCAGGATAGTCTTGATTTTTCTGACAGCATTAAATGAATTCTTTTCTTTTAAAACATTTTCAAGACCTTCTGACCCTCCCCTTTCAAAAGCGAGTTTTAAGTGGTTATATGAGAGTCCTGACTGTCCATTTTTTGTAACCATATACTGTAACTTTTTGGCATATACAAATATACAAGTAAACATTTATTTTTCTACTTTACATGAAGATATTCACATACATGTATGTAACATATCTGCATCTAATTTGTGTTGACATCCCAGATATTATTTCCATGTTTTTATCCCTGTTGCAACATGCTTCAAGTATGCAGCTACGGCACTTAATATGAATATTCACACTACATGACAGACGAAGGGGCTCACGACAAAATGAGCATCCTTTAGCTAAATTTGTGGCTAATATGGCTAGCTCCACCACACGTATTTCATAAATATAATCAGTTGCATAATCATCTAAAATAAATGTATAATTTATATCGTGTGATATTACTTTTCGATGGAAATATCAAGTAGAAAACGTTTTGTACATATCTTAAGACATACACATTGACTCATTGACTCAGTGCAGCTGGATAAATGAAATTGGAGGTTCTCAATGACCGAATGTAACAACCTTGTAAAGGATGTAATTGGATGTTCACATTCATCCAACGTAGCTTCACATGTAGGGGATAGGACTGGGATTACCCAGTGTAGCTACTTCTGAACACTTACCCTGTGTATCTAGATGTGTAGGGAATGTAACTGGAGTTTCACATTGACCTAGTGAAGCTACTTATGAAAGGTATGTGATGGGGATTCACATTGGCCAAGTGTAGTTCTACATGTAAGGGATGTAATTGGAGATTCACGTTGGTCCAGTGAAGCTACCTATATCGATGATGTAATTGAAGATTCACATTCGCCCAGTGTAGCTACCTGTATAGAGGTTGTAACTAGAGGTTCGCGTTAACCCAATGTAGCTACCTGTATAGAGGATGTAATTAGAGGTTCGCATTAACCGAATGTAGCTACCTGCACAAAGGTTGTAACAAGAGGCTCGCCTTTACCCAATGAAGCTACCTGTATAGAAGTTGTAATTAAAGGTTCGCATTAACCAAATTTAGCTACCTGTATAGATGTTGTAATTAGAGGTTTGCGTTAACCCAGTGTAGCTTCCTGTATAGAGGTTGTAATTTGAGGTTCGCGTTTACCCAGTGTAGCTACCTATATAGAGGATGTAATTGAAGTTCGCGATTACCTAATGTAGCTTCCTGTATAGAGGTTGTAATTAGAGGTTCGCGTTTACCCAATGTAGCTACCTTAAAAGAGGTTGAAATGAGAGGTTCGCGTTTACCCAATGTAGCTACCTGTATAGAGGTTGTAATAAGAGGTTCGCGTTTACCCAATGTAGCTACCTGATTAGACGATGTCATAAGAGGTTCGCGTATACCCAATGTAGCTACCTGTATAGATGATTTAATAAGAGGTTCGCGTTTACCGTATGTAGCTACCTGTATAGAGGTTGTAATTAGAGGTTCGTGTTTACCCAATGTAGCTACCTGTATAGAGGATGTATTTGGAGGTTCGCCTTTACCCAATGTAGCCACCTATAGCGGAGATGTAATTGGAGGTTCATATCCGCCTAGAGTTGTTACATATGTAGGGGATTCTTTTGTGGAAATGAATGATCTACGGTATCTACCTTTATAGGGGATGTACTTGAAGCTTTTCAATGGCCCAATGAAGCCATCTATATAGGGATGAAATCTTGTGTTCCTTTTCAACCTTACCTAAATGGTGTAAGTCATGAACTTTGAAGTAAACACATGTGCTACTCACCCATAAAAACAATCCCGCTATCAAAATTAATGTTTACCTAGCCGATAACAGCTCTCACAAGTTCAAATTGTCATATTCACTGTATTAAGTTCAAGTTCAAAAAGGTTTACAGAAGTTATTATTCAGGACAAAGGGATTAAGGGTTGACATGTCACAACGTTGCATCAGATTATTCTTGTACGGGCCAGATAAACATAATAATAAAGCTATATTTCTTTTTTTCAAGTTTTATATTTAAGGCATCTAAAATATGTACAGTGTAATTGCTTATAGGTGTTCCAATGTACTTCCGTATAATTTGGACATGTTCGTTCAAATTACCATAAGCAGTTTGTGTTTCATTCTGAAGTGACAGTGTAACCATCTCTTTTTCTTGTAAGATAATAAAGTTACCTTTTACAAGGTTTAATCTAGCATTTCATATTTAAGATTGTGTAATGATATTCACTAGGTCTTCATTTTCAGCAACTTTAACCCTTTCTAGCATCCATAAAAGCAAAAAGTGTTGTATCATCAGCCAACAACTTCATGTCATTATATGTTAATATCATTTGTAATACTATTTATGCATATGAAAATAGCAATGTACTTAGGACTAATCCTCCGACTCCAGCATTGGCTGTGCTAAATATAGATTTCAGCCTTCGGTTATTGAGTATTTCTATTTCTTTTCCATACTTTAAACTTCATAATATCAAACACTTTCAAACATTATGATTATTTAGCAGAATATAAATCACAAGTCATTTCCAACCATCTCACAAACAACGTATACATTTTTTAGATAGCCCGTGAGTGATAGAGAAGCGAATAAAATATCCACAAGATTTACATAAGCGCTTACTTAGTCGATAACAACTATCACAATTTCTACTCATCTGTTTTAAGTCCAAAACTGAGCAAAGGGGTTATTATTTAGGACGTACTTTGTCACTTGATGTCAAAAAGTAGGTCCTCAAAGTTATTGTTATGTCTCCGGATTCCTTTTAAGATCAACTTCAGTGTAGAAATGCCTGTCTATACAACATTGTATATAGACAAGCATTGCATTACATCGTATAAAAGCTTAATTATGACTCAAGGTATATATGAAACTTAACAAAGCCAGTAACATGAATAGACTGTTGTATGCTGTGTACAATTACAGAACTGGCGTTTTTGTATTATACACAAAACAAAAGTGCAGAAAATATCAAAGCATCAAAACAAGGACAATATATACAACAGCATCAAATAATTTCACAAACAACGGATACAATTTTTAGAAAATCTATGAATGATATAGAAGCAAATTAAAAAATCCACAATATCTTGTTAAGTGCTTACTTAGACGATAACAGCTATCACAATTTCCACTTGTCTGTATTTAAGTCAAAACTCGTGCACATGGGTTATTATTTAGGACGAATTTTGTCACTTGATGTCAAAAAGTAGGTCCTTTAAGTTAGTGTTAGATTTCTTTTAGAATTAATTTCAATGTAGAAATGCCTTTCAATACAACATTGGTTAAACACAAGCCTTTCATTTCATCGTAAAATAATAATTCAATGTATATTTGTAATTGACAAAGCCTGAAACATCACCAGTCTGTTATATTTTGTGTAAAATTGCAGGACTTGTGTATTTGTAAAATACACAAAACAAAAGAGCATGTATCACAATATACCACAACATCAAAACAAGGACAATATATACCGCAACATCAAAACAGGGACAAAGTATAACATAACATCAAAACAGGACCAAAATAAGCAACAGAATCAAAACATTGACATTATATATACCACAGCATCAAAACTTTATAATGCATGTATAAACCACATTATTATTTTATCATATTTTCCCGACAAGTGAATGGACAGAAGTGCATCACGTGTCCACCGATAAAAACCGATATCGACTTGGAGTGCGTGATTTTTGTTGAAGGACTGGGTGTTTCTAAAAATAGAATTATGCCGTGTTTTCAAACGAACGAGCCGTCCCGCTTCCGCGGCCTTTTTATTGTGTTATTTTATCAGGTTGCTGTTTTAAAATAATAGAACAATTGTGGCCTTTAACTTCGGTCAATACCTGGATTTATCGACCCAAGAAAACCAGGTATCGTCAAAAGTCAATATATATATTCTCGGGTCGATAAATCCAGGTATCGGCCTCAGCCAAATGCTATAAATGAATAGCAGTATATATCACAACATCAAAAGAAGGACAAAGTATAACACAACATCAAAACAAGAAACAAAACATGCCTAAGCTTCAGCAAACATGGACAATATATATCGCAATGTCACCACAATAGGACAAAATATAACACATTATCAAAACCAGGACAAAACAAACCACAGTGTCAATACACAAGAACAGATTAAATCAGTGTCAACACATGAAAAAATATAACACTTCATCAAAACACAACAACAAAATTTACAAAAATTTCAACTATCAAGGATAAAATGTACCTTAATTTCAACTCTCAAGAACATAAAAATAATATTACATACACAAAGACAAAATATGTACTGCATCGTCAACAAGATAAAACGAAATATGCGAGAGCATCAACGCAAAATGACAATCCTTAACAAAGTGTCATTGCAAAGGGACAAAGTGTACCTCAACGTCAACACACAAGACAAAACATACCACAGCGAACAAGACAACACTGTTACGTAAACACGCAATGTCAGATATATCAAAGCGTCAACACATAAAGATAAAATATATCATAGTATTAATACACAATGACAGATATATCAAAGCGTATAAACATAAAGATAAAATATATCACAATATTAATACATAAGGACAAAACATACCACAGCGAACAAGGACAACACTGTAACGGTAACACTCAAAGTCGGATATATCAAAGCGTCAAAACATAGTATTAATACACAATGACAGATACAACAAAGGGTCAAAACATAAAGATAAAAGATATCACAGTATTAATACACAATGACAAAACTTATCACAGCGAACAAGGACAACACTGTAACGTTAACATGCAATGTCAGATATAACAAAGCGTCAAAACATAAAGATAAAATAAATCACAGTAACAATACACAATGACAGATATAGCAAAGCGTCAAAACATAAAAATAAAATATATCATAGTATTAATACACAATGACAAAATATATCACAGTGTTAATACAAAATGGCAAACTATACCAAAAACATAAAGACACAAAAACAAAATCGATCATATTAATACACGGGGGAGATTATATAACATTGCTTATAACGTCTTTTAGAATATATCACTCCTGTGTGATGTAAATAGATAAATCCCAACCTAAAGGTAAGATTTTTAAAGTTTTGACTTAAAAACTATCACGGTGATTATTCTTTCATTTCCATTTGGTGTAGAATAGGGAAATTCCACCCGAGGAATTTTCAAATTGCATTAAACCTGAGGTTTGTCGAAAGTTTTGTGCCAATTAGATAATCCCAAGGGATCAAGTTCACTATCCTACACCCGAAGTTATGAAAGAGTATTTTCTCGTTCCAGTGGCTAGAGTCAACTCGGCATAATTTCCGTATCGTGACATCGAAAAAATGCTGCTTTCATGACGTCACACAATCGGTGTCCCGCTGTGATGTCATGAGATGTGATGAGGGTCACCTCGTCACCCTGTGATGAGGGTCGATCTTGAGAACAGATATGAAGCAGAAGGGCAAAGGGAAGAGGAACGTTCCTATTGATTTCGAGCATAGTCAATCTAAGGGCAATGTCACTCTTACTGAAAATAGTATTTGTCCCATCCTTACAACAGAAGAAGCTCAAAATAGGGTGCTCTTATGGTGAGGAGGAAACACAATCACGATGCAGTTGGATTGTCTGATATCATGGTCAATACTACTAAAATAGAAATGTCTAGAACCTAACGGTGTGTACTTACTTCCAGATAAAGTTGCAAAAGCAAATATTTTAAATCGCAGTCTCTTACTAATGATATCGATAATATATCGACAACAAATGATGCTCTGAGACATCGGGGTTATGCTGCTCCTGACGGCACTCTCGTTTACAATTACGCTTTGATATACCTTTATAATGTATCATATCTTATTCTGTATGTGAGGGCTACCGTAGTAATCCATTAATAACGATAACGATAGTCTGGTGATAGGGCTCCTGTATGTCAGTACTTTTTCTGCAGTTGACAACAACACACCATCCACTTGTATCGAGGTAAGTGTCTTCTCTTCTCTCTGTATAGATATGTTATGGAGGGCGCAGTTCCACTGTAATACACATCAATATTATATGATCATACATGACTTTGTCAAACAAACTGTAAGCAATGTTGACCTCGAATTACATGCTAGGGGTTTTTCTTGGTTGGTGCGAAAAAGGAATCCATACCTCATCAACATGCTATAGTTGAATTTAAAAGAGTGTACAGAATCATACCAAAATATAACTCAGATGACTTTACCATAAATCCTCCTCAGCGTGCCATTGTTCTTCATCTCCATACAACCATTGTTCAGTAATACAAAATCACGTAATAACTAACAATCTACTAACATAATGTAAAATTACGGCCGATTTTCATGAAAAAGCTAGAGAGACTCCTTCTATCACATGGAATGTGAATATCAAAAACGGATTGATTCTTTAGAATACCACGCCGTGAAATGTAAACACAAGAGAACGTGAAATAGATTCACGTTCATAGTGGGTTAAATCTGTCATATCCATAATTCAAAAACAAAATTGAAACTGGAAATCAAAAGTGAACCAAAACAAAAGTCCTAGTGTTAATGTTTTAATTCGATGTCCAAACCCTATTCAATGATCTGCATTAAACCTATGTTGTAACGGCGGCAGGCAGATCAGGCATTTTCTATCTCAGTCGTTTCAATTATAGAAGGCCTGTATGATAGCAAATGAAACCCTGTCTACATATTTCCATTTTATTCGACAGACGAAATACTAGCTTACCTTGCATCTGTATAACATTTTTATGAAATTCGGAAATTTTAGAAAATCCTAATCAACAATGTTTAATCGCGGTTTAATGTCAGGCACTGGGTCACTTAACCGAACACTAGGGCTTCACCTGGGTACTCCAGTTCGCTCCTTGTAAAAGACACTCTTCGAGCTCCTGTCCAGGCCAACAACAGTAATTGGAATACGTTGAAAAACTTGTTTCGCAAATGTTGTAAACTAAATGAAGGTTATATATTCTATATAAAATAATAACTCATAACATCGTTTGATCCATTCTGTGGATTATCTCCTCTAAAAATAACAGTCTCTAACTGTTTCCACTCCTCACTTTCCATACCTCATACCACACTGAAAGAATAACCTCCTTTGCTAGTATGATATCTTTTACTCCCAAGGAAAAGCAAGCCGTTATATGTAAATGAAATTGTAAATTAGTTGGTGCATATGTTCATACATGCATCTAGCTGATTACAATGAAAAACAATGGCAGCGTTTGATATCTAATCACAGTGTTACCACCAGTAAGATAATTACAGTCACAATGTCACAATGAATAAGCTGATTACATGGTATAACCACAGTATCACTAACAAAGGATTTAGTTGAATATGACAAAGTTTTAATGCTACATTCACACACTGTAAACACGGTAATTAAAGTTGGCTAATTTATCTTTCAGATCAACGACGCTACGATGTCTCGAAGTCAGACTTATTCTTTGCAGACTTTGGAGAGTAAGGAACCATTACCAGCAACGACTGCAGAAAATCAAACTGTGACTGAAATAAAAAGCAAAAAAAAGTTTATGAGATTTCTAATTCTAGGGTTTACATTATTGTCGCTCATTTACAGTTTTGTTCTTGCCCAACTTGTCATTGTGCAGTACGTGTACGCGAATATTCACAAGACCTACTATCCTAATGTCAGTTTCAGTACTAACGAGTCGGGATGTCAGCTAAACACAACGTCACAGCTGTACCGCGATCAACAAACCGTGCAAAAGATGGCATCTCAGTTCATCATTTACGCAGAGTTGGCAAGGGGGGTACCGGGAATATTTGGTATTTTCTTTTACGGTTCATTAAGTGATAAATATGGTAGGAAACTTTTTCTCCTCGTCCCTTTCATAGGAAACATGCTAAAATGTGTTCTGACTACTGTTGGCATATATTTGGACTGGAACATTTACATATTTATTATTTTTTTCTTCATTGACGGATGTGGAGGAGGTTGGGTTTTGGCAGTATCTATTGTTATGTCAATAGTGGCTGACGTGACCGAACCCGGAAAAACGCGGATATTTGTAATAGCCATGACCGAGATATCGTTGGGATTAGGTTTGGTCATTGGAAGTTTTACTTCCGGTTTCATCATAAAAGCAGAAGGTTTCATGTACGCTTTGCTGATCAGTTCCTGTTGTTCGATCCTTCCATTCCTGTTATTGGTTTTCGTACCCGAAACGTTAAACAAGACAGAAGATCAACAAAGAAAATCCACAACTCAACTTGCCTTTGACATTTTCGTGTTTTACTTCAGAGATGCCGCCCTTAATGGAAAACGGAAGATATTTCTGGTTTGCATGCTAATCTATTGTTTCGTCATCACAGCATCGTTCGGTGCCAACGGAATAGAAACTTTGTTTGGATTAAATTCCCCATTTTGCATGAGCTCAGTACAAGTGGGTGTCTTCATTACCATGCGCACCGGCATACCGTTTGTTCTGGGAATGCTACTCTTCCGTCCACTACAGCTGTGTTTGGACGAGTCTCTCATAGCTGTCATCGCAAACCTGTCCCATTCTGCTGGTTATATCTTAGAGGCATTTGCTTATAGTACCTTGATGCTTTACTTTGGTAAGTATGTGACAGTTATATTAGGTATTCGTTGGTGCAGACTTTCTATGTGTGTTTGTTTTTTCTTGTAGAAACTTTTTAAGGATAAATATTCCATCGAAATATTTAAATATATCCATATCGAAGACATTTAAATCTTACATGTGGTACTACATCGGGGAATCATGCTACGCGGGCTTTAGTTTCGACAAATGTGTTCTCCAGAACATCAGAGTGGTATAGCATCCTCACAATCGTATTAGTAAAGTATTCAGACTTACTGTATAAGATGAGATGTCTAAAGTACTTCCCGTCGTTGTGTAAACATTCGTGGATACACGATATAAACAGTTTAAAATGTATACATAGTCTTAAATTAATCGTTTATACATTAATTAATTCGAAGCAAATAAAGCTGTATTGCTTGTCTGTGTCAACGTAATTGCTATATGTATGTGAGCGAATTAAGACAAAAGAAAGGTAGTTGAAGATGTTTGATCAGGAATTCTTCATTGCTATTTGTAAAAATGACATTATTGTCCGAGTTGTTTCATTGTTTTGAACTTTGGTAACGCTGATAAGTCCTAAATTGACAAAAATATTAACCTCGTTTTGCTTTCTGCATTAATTATGTACTTCATATCTTCGTAATGCTAGTGACTATTTAACAAATGTGAAAGAAACTTCCTGGGGTAATTGTAATTTGTTATTTATAGTTTGAATTTAAGAGCTAGATTGAAGATGTTGTCTTACCTTTATTGATGCACCAGTTCTCGTTTTGTTCTAGTTCCTGTATTGAGCTTTGCTAGGACCATGGCAATTCCTATAGTTCGGGGAATCATGTCGAGTCTAACGCCGCAGGAAAAGCAAGGTCGGTACTCGTATGTAGATCAATGTCCTATAAATGTATGAAAAACAAGGTCGGTACACGTATGTAAAACAATAGCTTTACTCGTTTATAAACAAAGTCGGTACTCGTTCGTCATGATAAGTAGAAAAAGTTGATGGACAAATTTGATGATCACCCGGTACATTATCCTATTGTAAGGTCGGTACTCGTTAACAATTAATTACAAGTTTGGAACCAGAATGAAAACGTTAGGTTTGTTCTTGTATGTTATACGAAAGTCGGTTTTTGTATGAAGTCTGTTAAAATATAACCTCGTTCTATAAGAGTTGTGAGTGTTGCCATTGATATGTATATATTCTAAACATAAGTCCTACAACGAGATGTAGTCCATCAATAATTTCTACTTTGATTTCATTTCAGGAACAATGTTTGCCGGGATAGCCATCGTGGAGACGTTTTGTACCCAGTTTGGCAGTTTGACTTCCACCGTTGTATATGGCCACACCGTGGAGACATTCCGGGGTGCAGCCTTTCTCGTCCTTGCCGGATACACCTCTGTCGCAGGAGTATTATCATTGTAAGAATATATTGAACAAAATAAAGTGAATAAACAATTTGACTCATGAAGAGAATTTAAGGTGACTGTTTAAAAATAAAACCTAACTATTACGAGAAAAACATAAGATTCGTTTATATGTCTATAGACGCAATCGGTACCTGTGAATAAATGCATTTCTAAGAATTTAATTGATAAAAATATTCCAGCAAGCGACAGTGAAGATGTCCGAAAACAGGGGTCTGTATTCGTTATCTGATAGATATTTTTGTACTTCCAGTGTGTTATACAGGATCACCAGGCGAGTGAAGATGCATCTTTGAAGTGATCAGAGTATTGTGTGAAGACTCCGACTGTTACTCAAAAACCTTTGACGTTATATTCGATACAAACATAGTATTATCGAGACATTAGTTTGCTTTTACTTTCATTTGTGCATAAATGTTTGTCTTCAAACAGAAAATTATATTCATCACTTAATTCAATTCTGGTGCATATATTACATACTCTGTTTTCCTTGTATATATTTATTTATTTACCACATTCTTCGTGAAAATTTTAATTGGGTGTCCTTAATTTGTAATAGTTATTTATTATTTACAATCAAATGATTAAGAAATAATTGTGATACATTTGCATGTTTAAATATATATACTATAATTTGTTCACCTGGAAGAATTAAATATGTCTTATCGCCACATGTGTACTATTTTTTATTTTTTTTAGTTTATTGAAAATTGTAGATATTAACTAATTAACACTTTCACAGTCGACCGATTCAAAGTGTTTCTCTGTTTACATATCATCAATAAACGATATCCATGGTAAATTATACTTTGTTTAAACGTTGCTTAATTTAATGTATTATATCTAATAACAGTAACCCCATTTTTTACATATCCATACAATACTTACACTCAATCGACTTCCTAAATGATCTTAGCCGTTATAGGACTCTTAACTAAGTAAAACCACACCAACAATCAACTGACAAGTTATGTTCTCAACATTTCGCTATGTCACTATATATCATTTTTTCTTCTTTGTTATATTACTTTTAATACTCTTTATAATCTTTGTGTATGTGTATATACAATCCCTGTAAAGTGAATCCAAAGAAATACAGATAAAGCTATTCACTATTTCTATATTGTTTACATTACAGTCAAGTTATAGTTCATGTGAGACCTTACCTGTAACAAATATCATTACGTAAGTTCAATATTGTCTTACAGACGCCATCTATTTAATTGATTTGGAGGTTTGTTTGCCGAGTCTGCCAAAAGTATAGTAATATCTCCATACAATAACACAAACATTTGTAAATGGTAGTTAACTTTCTAGCTTGTATGATATCTCTGATAATCATCGACATCCACTTTTAACTAAACAAACCATTGAAACAATTTAAAAGATACAGAGTAGGGATTGGGATTCTTGACACTTCTGTTCTTCCTAAATTAGATAAGAAATTATTTGAAAATGTAATTAATTATTTTGGTCATATAAAGATTACACGAAACAACTGTGTGATACAGTGTAATTCTTTTTGGCAAACTGCATCTATTACGAAATTTTAAAGGTGTGTCACAGGTTTGTGCTTTACCTTCAACCCCTATCATACATGTAAGTAATAAATAACAAAAAATAATAAGATTACTGATTAGTTTACTCTATAACTCATATCTCCAAACACTTTCAAAGACTTTTTTTCAAAATCGATGAAGCGAGCCTGTTTTTTTATTTTTTATTTTATAATACAACTTTAGAACACAGTAAAATATGTTATCTGTGGTTGTGTGATTGCTTCTAAAGACAGGTTTGTTTTCTTGTATCATTTCTGCATGCAAATAGAAGAGAATATTGTACTCACACAACTGATCAGTGGACGAACTGTAGTTTTCAGTGTCATGCATGTTGCTTTTGTTTTGGAAAACTTGTAATATATTTCCCATTGACCATGTCTTCGGTATTTATCAGTTTCAAAGATAAAGTCGAATATCATCACATATAATGGAAACGTTAAATCAATTTGTTTTGCACATAGGATGTTTATAAAAAGTTACTGTCACGATGTATAAACGGATTTGTTTGCAAAATTAACGTGTTATGTCTTTTCCTGAAATGGGAAAGATCTCAAAGAAGCGAAAGAAGGTGTCAGATGAGGGTGATTCTTTCCATAATGTGTCACTAGACAGAATATATTCCGCTGAGTACGGTTATTGTTAACGCAAACGATAATGTATGCCATTATCATCGCCCGGATATGTAGATGGCAACAGACCCGCTGCCATACACCAAGATCTTACATATCTTACAAAGGTATGTATGCATGAATGATGAAAAACAAGTCGAGCCTAAGAACATCGACGATGGTAGTTTTGTGTTTTACAGTAAAAATGAAAAAGTAATTTCGAATATCTGTCAACAGATTTTTATTATTTTCACTACATTTGCTTTTTCAACTCAGGACATTTCATAACTATTGTTGATCATGCGCCACGTCTTCTAATAATATTTGAAATATAAGCGAGAACAATATTCAGGTAAAAGTAATCTTACATAACGAATACTATATGATCGAATTCAATGGAACAATGAAAATGTAAGCCTTATTGGGAAAAAAACTCAGTGAAAATGCAGATAGCTTTAATACGCAAAATTATGTGAACACAAAATAGATTTTATTTTGTCAAGTTATCAATGAATTAGTTTTACCACATTGCGGTGTTAATAAAGTTTATTCAACAGTTGATTATACTAAAGCAGGACTAAAGATCTTATGAAAAAACATGGTCAAATGAAAAACATCATTGTCTAACTTCAACGGATGAAAGTCGGAGGAAAATCATAAGCACTTATTGAATAGAGATCAGGTAATATAAGGCTTGAAAAGTGATTAACACGGGCACGATAAAAAACACAAAGGTGATATGTTAGGATTGATATATAATAACAATCCGAAAGAATACTTCACTTAGGCGAAGCAGCGTAATAAACTTGAAAACAAAATTCCTCCTCTAGCTATAAGAAGTCGTATAAAATAATCAACTATGACAATCAATTACAAATCACTTCTGTTTCTGTCTGTACCAGTCCCACCATCCATGATGAGTGTTTCTGAGCATAGCTATTTACTCTAAGTATCGTTCATGTCCGGGGTGTAGGATAGGGAAATTCCACCCGAGGGGTTTTCATATTGGGTAAAATCCCTGGCTTCCGGAGGATTTATAATTTTGAACCAATTAGAAAGTCTTAAAGCTAGAATGTTCCTCCCTTACATTCCTGGGCATGAAAGAGTAGTGTATTATCACATAGAAATGTCCCATGTAAGAAAGGGGTCTAATTTAGAGTTAGAAAAATCTATCTTTACACGTGCCGATTAATTTTGGTCTAGGGGGGGTAACTCAAAAAGACTGTCGTCTTCAAGATAACAGCACTATCCGTATGAAAACGGGTAAATGTACAGGACTTTATCGACAAAAAATGAGATGTTAGTATATAGAAGAAAACTATAATCAAACAAAAATTGTTCGGAGAAACGAAATATCCCGATGACAGCCGTTCGATGCCGTACACCATTCCCCAGTAGACTAGGACCAACTTGTATTGGAATTCATTGCTTCGGCCAGAGATACACATGACGGAGGGTAAGATCAAGCGTAGGAAAACAAACTTGCAAATATTATGAAAGATATGTCCAAAAAAGAACTCTTACACTTCCAATATCAATGTAAAAAAGTCCATTGTACAACAACAAAAAGACTGATAACGATTTACGAGATAACAACCAAGTCCATGTCACAGGCCACAGGAATGCCAAATCCCTGAATAACTACAGAACACTGAATGATACACACAAGTTGGAGATTTCCAGCCTCGGTTTGGTGTACAGTTCTACAATACTGCGGATCAGTCAACAACATAGTGATGATTATGAAAGTGGAAAGCTCTAAGGAAATCAAAACACTGTAGTTTTATAAGAAATATGCAAATTTCGAACATCAAACATGGCAGTGGTGAATTCAATTACATGTATATCATAAGATTTTATTAAAAATGTTTAATAAGAGTTTAAAATGAGACAAACGGCAACCAAATATCACACTTTTTTTCGACAAGTAAATATAATGAGAGAAGAAGTGTCTTTCATATGCGTATGTGTAGGATAGGGACATTCCAGCCTAGGAGTTTCCTGATTGGGAAAACCCCCTCTGGTGGAATTTACATTTCCAACATACACACATATGTAAGGGTCTTAGAGTAAATATCTATGATAACGTCTGCTGGATACCTGTCAGAACGGTAACACTTATCACGGATAGACGGACACAGACAGAAATAGAGGTGATTTGTAAGTGTATTGATTATCATAATTCATTGTTGCATATGACTTCTTTCCGCTGGTGAAGGAATTTTGTGTTCAAGATTATTCTGCTGATGTTTAATTTTCCTTCCTTATGATAAAAACGTTGCTTAGCGTTCACGTTATGTTGAAAAATGTACTGGTTGTACGAAGCAATGAAGCCTTAAACAACGAAATAAGTGACATTTTGATGTATTGGTGATAATATAAAGTCTTTATTGATAGGGCTAGATATGCATTTTCGAACTGTTCTATTGAACATAAAAATAAGTAATGCTGATAATATCAATTTCAAAAAATCTGGTTTAAGGCAGATTGTAAATCAGACAGAACAAAAACCAGGTTATATAAGAATTATGGTACAGAAGGATGAGGGACTGATAACAAAAATAATTTAAGAATGTTACAAAGCGAAATATTTATTCAGTAACTAAATATCTTAAAAGAAACTAATTAAAAGAACAAATTAAAAAGCTATGGAATTAATGGAAATCTTTTAGACTGGCTATCCTATTATGTACAGAATCGCCATCAACAAGTCTTCATCCACAATGTTACTTCTCACACTAAAACAACTAATGCTGGTGACCCCAGGGTTCTGTCTTAGGTCCGCTTCTTTTTCTCTTGTATATCAACGATATAACTGATAACCTTGTCAGCCCTTCCCGTCTTCTTGCTGATGATACTTCCCTATCCGTCTCTTCTCCTTCCACAATTGAACTTGAAACTACTACTAACCGAGATCTTGAAAACAATCATAACTGGGCAGAAAATTGGCTTGTTAAATTTAATCCTAATAAAACTGAAGCACTACTAATTTCAAATACCAATACTGAGCTTGATGTCAATCTTATTTTTAATAATGTTAATATTGATTTTATTGAACATCATAAACATCTAGGCATTTTCCTAGATGCTAACTGTAAATGGACTCACCATATTGATAACATTTGTAAAACTGTTACGAAACAAATAGGAATTCTCCGCAAGTTAAAATATACTTTAAATCGCAAGACATTAAACAGAATTTATCTTACTTTTATACTCCCTCTGCTAAAAGAAATTCTCATCCCACCCTCCATCCCCTGCATACTCCTGTTTCTTTATCTTATCCGGAGCTAGAGTTTGTACTTTATGTTGTATTGTGTATGTACTTTGAGATTCGCATGTAAATGAAAATTTGAACGTATTTTTACAATTTGTATTGCGATACTGCTGCTGAGTTTTTATTTGCAGGTCTAACAGGCTGTGTGTTCAGACCAATAGTTTCTGGAGTGCCAAAGTGCCGAGAACTTAAGAGACTGAAAACTAGCTTTATCGGTGCTT